GACACCGTGCATCATCCGGGGCCGTGGGCCCAGCCTCTGCCACCCCTTGGCTCACAACAGGTTGGGGTAGCAGCGCTGGGAAAGCAGCCTGGGTTGCATGGGTCGAGAGGCAGCGGCAAGCTGGGGAGCAGAGAGAGAGAGATGGTGTCAGGGAGGGTAGTACCCCAAAAATGTGGATCTGCTGTCCTCTGGATGCAGCCACAAATATCCCCCCTGCCCATAGCACATTGCAGGCAATCTGGCATCACCCCAAAAATCAGGAGCCACCCCTCCACACACACACACCCCAAAAAGCGAGGAGCAACACCCCAGGAGGTTACTCTCACCTGAGAGACCTGGACAGGGTTGAAGAGGGGGATTGTCCCCACCGGTGGGGGAGATTCGTGGGGGCTGGTCTGGAAGGGATGAAAAGAAACTTAATGGGCACCCTCCTCCCCAATTTCAGAGCCACCCCAAGCAGAGAGGTGTCCTGGACCCCTTCATCACCCACAAATACATCTCCCTCCTCTCCTCACCTGCTCTCCCGCTGACTCCCCGCCACCCACATCCCATGGGCCTTTCATCTCAATGGACACAGGAGTAACAGGAAAAGCGTCTTCACCTTGCATTCCTCCTGGGGCATGCAACAAAAACAAATTTAAAAAAAAATAAAATTAAGGAGCAGCATCCAAAAGACTGATACAGCAAGAGGGTCAAGGGGACACATGCTGCATTTACCAGGGTTTCTGGACAGAGGCTGAGCCAAAGGGCTTGTCCCAGGTGTGAGAGGAGACTCAGGTGGGGATGGCGACGTCCGTTCCTGAAACCACATCCACCCGCTTACAGCAGAAGCTCCTCATATGGTGAGGAGACCTCTGCACCAGGTACCACACCACGCCTTTGGGGTATCGCTCTGCACCCACCCTGCTGGAGAGGTACCCCAAGAGCTACAGGGTCAGGGCAACAAGCCCTGGCACAAAGCTAAAGCACCCGGAGAGTTCAAAGTTAGGAAGGAGGCTTGACACCAAGCCGAGTTACAGTGCCAAGAGCCACCAGCATCCACAGGTCCCCCTCCGTTCCTCATGTCCTGATAAGTTTTGGAAGAATATCCCCACATTCTCTGCTCCAGGACTGTAAGTCATTCTCAGTCAGGAGGGAACTTTCAGGGGAGGATCTCGCTCCAACATCTGCCTCCAAGCCCACCACCAGCCTGCACAGGGGGGTGTGACACCCCGAGGACTCAGCCAGGACGGGGCTAACCACGCGTGGCTGCTTCCCCCTCTCCACTGCCCTTCCGAATTAAAGAGGTTTTCCTTCCCTTCAGCTCCTAAAACCTGACCAAGCAGTGCCGCTCCTTTCCACTCCAGTGGAGGACAAGTGATCCCTGCAGAGTTTGTCAAGTCCTTGGAGGACCTCCCTGAACAAAGAGGCTTTATAAATTTACAATTATTATTAATCAAGGATTCACTTCCAGGCTAAAAGGGCTCCTGGTCCCACTCTGTCCCCACACAGAGCGGCTACGGCCACAGAGAGCTGTGTAATGGCACAGCCCAGCCACCTGCACGAGGATGGAGGGAGAAGGAGTGGGCAAAGGGGGAGATGTGTCACCTGTCCCCATGGCTGTAACCCTGGGTGTCACCCCAGGGACAGGACAGCCTTTTGTCCCCTACCTGTGGTCCCGACGTGGGGGAGTCCGGGGCCATCTCTGCTTTGGGAGATGTTTCCTTGGTGGGCTTCGACCGAAACCAGCCAAACCACCTGAACCCGGCGCTCTGCGAAATGGAGGTGTCACAGTCAATGGAAATGGGTGAGCAGGGGAGGATGTCACGGCCACCGAGATGCCCGCCATGCCAGCTGGGAGCAGACACCATTTTGCCCAGGTCAGGGCAGGCACGGTGGACACTGGGGATGGGCAAGCTCAAAGCACCAAGCTCCTCACCAGCTCTGGTACGCTCACCTTGTCCTCTGCTGGTGCTGGCTCTTCGGGGGTATCTTCGGCTGCGCTCTCCGAGGAATGCTGGCTGTCCTCTTCCAAGGAGAAGGTGGAGCTCTCCGAGATGTTCCGCGCTCTTGTCTGTAACTCCTTCTGGCATCAGAGATGGGAGCTGCTGCTTGGTCTTCCCAGAAGAGCCACCCCAAGCATAACCAGAGCGTCCCCACGACTCCTCCATGCCAGGCTGAATAGATAGTGTCCCCAGGGACCCCTATGTCCCTTACACGGGAGGGACAGCACCCACAGTGGGGGGCGGTGGGCAGCTCAGTGTCCTGGAGGCAGGAGGGGGCTACCCTGACCTGTCAGGTCACCAAGGAGATGGCTGGCACCATGATGGGGAGCTTCTGTGCCAGCTAAGTACATGGTTCCAAATTCCACCTGGGGTCCCAAATAGGACAGTGTCCCTGACCCCTCCAACTCACCTGTGCTACTGGGAAGAGTGGCTGCACCCCCCTGGGGGATAGCGGGGTGTCCTGGGGCTCCCCAACTTCTGCAGAAAAGAGGGAAGGACACAGTCATGGTTTGGCCTAAGGAGCTCCTGCCATCTCTAGCAGAGGTATTTTCAGTGCTTCTATCATCCCACCCCAGAGGAAGGCTGTATGGCCAAGATGCCCCCCCGGAGATGCAAAAGCCTATTCTGGACCCTGTCCCTGTCCACGGCAGCACCAGGGAGGGGGGAAGGCACAGGGCTGCACCAGTGCATCTCAAAAACCTGCACCATTGGACTTGCAACTGGTTTTCCCACCTGGCAGGGAAGCCACCAACCCATCATTGCCCTCTCTTCCTGCTTTGGGAAAGCTCTTCCACAAATGAAGACCCACCTGCCCAGGGCAGCCAGAGCGGGATGCCCCATCCCACTGCTGCTAACTGGGGACAGGCACTTTTCATAGAATCATAGAATCATTAAGGTTGGAAAAGACCTCAAGGCTCATCAAGTCCAACCATCAACCTGACACCACCTTGCAGAGAAGCAAGGCTGGAACACCAACCTGCGGGTGGCATCGCCTGCGGAGGGGGCTCAGGAAGAACCCTTCCTGGAGGGGTGGCCGTCCCCGGGCCGAGCACAGGGGGCTGCAGTTCTTGCCCAGCGCTGAGCAGTGGCGATGCTGCTGGGGGCTGCAGGGACATGTCCTCATGGGAGCTGGGTCCTTGGGGTGGCTTGGGCTGGTACCACTGGTCATACTGGTAGACCTCACTCTGGGGAAACTCGTGGTTGGGTTCTCCATCTGAAAAAAAAAAAAGAGGAGAAAAAAAAAAAAAAAAGAGAAAACCACCACCTCAGGAGTTTACTCTGGTGCTTACAATTTTTTGGGCTGTTGCACAGAATTCTCCCCTCTTCCATTTTACATCAGCTGGAGCCGGGGGGTGAGGAGGGACCCCAGGGACCAGGTGAGGGAGGAGGCAGGGCATGGCAGAGCAGCAGGGACATTTTGGAGGCTTCAAGGAAGGTGGGCTGGGAAAGATGGGGAAAAACCTGCTGGGAACATGCCCGAGGTTGCGAATGAACTCCGAAGGGGGATGCGATGGAAGCAAAGAGACCAAGCGTGAGCAGCACCTGCCTGGCAGTTCAAAGGAGCCCGGGGCCTCCAGCCTTTTATTCCACTCCTGCTGCACACCCCGAGCGCAGGAAAGAAAATTCACCGGGAAGCCACAGCCTTCACTCCAGCTCCACAGGAGCACCCACAGATGAGTTTCTTGCTTTAGGCAGATTTATTCAGGGTTGCTTTTTTTTTTTCTTTGAAAGGCAGGTTGAGCAAGCAGGGTTTGTTTTATTCAACACACACAGACGTTGCTCTGACTGATGTTAGACACGGCGCAGGCAGCACGCTGCCGTTCATCCCAGGTGCATGTCCCGCTTCTTCCAGCTCTGCAGCCTGCAGCCAGAAATGTGCTGGGCACTGGGAAGTTTCTCTCCCATCACCACGAGACATGGCCAGGCACCCCGTGGAGTCTGAGCCTGGGGACAGATTATGGCACCTCTTGGATGCAGTGCTGCAAAACCCTTTGCTTTGCCTGCTGGCATCCCCTCCAGCCTGCTCTGGGTCAGCTTCGCACCCTGGAGCTGCTCATGGCAGCCGGGAGATGATCCACAGGGAGGGAGATGGATGCTCAACTCCATGCTACCCAGCCAGGTCAGCTGGAGAATGTCAGGGAGGAGAGCCCAAGGCTGTAAGGATAGAGAGGGAGGCTGCTGTGACCCAGGTGGGTTCCAGCTTGGCAGCTTGATTCAGGCTTTGTCTTTCCAAGACTGGTGAAGTCAGCACCCAGCCAGCATCTCTGTCCCTGAGATGGTGGCTCTGGGTGCCCTTCTCAATGAACACAAGTGCCAAGCATCAGGGACACAAGCTGCAGAGACCACACAGAGGTTTCTCTCGCCGCTCAGAGAAACCATCCCATCATATCTGTGACTTTTTTCCAGGGCAGGATGATCATAGCTTCAGCCCTAATAGCAGCAGAAGGCAATCAGGATTCATGATCCTTTTTACTGCCTGGGAGAGCTCTTTGAAAAGGAATTTGGCAGCAGCAGAGAAAGCTGATAGGAAGAAAGGGCTTGGAGGAATTTGTCATGTTTTATCCTGTCTGCACCAGCCTTTATTCTCCACCCATCAGCGCTGATGTTCCCAGCAGAAAGCCAGATCTGAGCAGCGATGAGGAGCAGCGGGCAGTGCCGGGGCATCCTGCTGCTGAAGGAGGCTGTGCAGCAACACTGACAGGTCCCCAGCCCCTGCCTTCTCCTTGGTGGGACATCTCGATGGACACACTGCCCAGCCAAGAAGGGAAAGCTCTCCTGCCCTCCACAGCTGCCCAGCAGGAGCTCACGTCTCTCATCTTGATGTCTCTGACCCTTGGGGTGGACCAGCGTGGGAGGGGACTCTGGGGATCACCAAGAGGCAAAGCAAAAGGATGAAAGAAGCAGTGGGGAAGGGGGAACGCTGGGGCTTCACGAACAGGCACGCTGCAGCCCAGCACGCAGAGGGACAAGCCCCTACCCGAATCTTTTGAGAGGACTGCCTGGGAACCAGGCCGTCTCCCCCAGGGCTCAGCCAGGAGACATGTGCTTCATCCAGCCACCCATCACCGGCCCCCTTCTCCTCCCACACTGCCCACAGGGACTCCTGAAGCTGTGGTAATTAGCCCCAATTACTCAGACTTTGTATGGAGGGCACAAGCACCAACCCCTCCATTTGCAGCCCCATGTCAGAGGGATGCATCCAGGCAGGAGCCAAACTTTAAGCGTTGGGAGGAATGTAAGGGACAAGGGCAACTGATGAGAGATGCTCCAAGGAGTGGGGCACCAGGGACAGATGCTCCCAGCTCATGGCAGCACAGCTCCATGTCTGAGAAGCTTGCTGAAGCAATTGCAACCCGCTGCTTCCTTTTCTTTACCTGCTGCTTCCTTTTCTTTCCCTGCCGTTGATGCAGGGCTCCAGGAGAGCCCTGGCTGAGTGGGTTCCACCTCCGGAGGAAGGTCGTCTTCCACCTGCAAGGAGTCAGAGGGAAAACATGATAAAACAGATGGAAAATGGAGTGGCACTGGGCAAAGACTAAGGAAAGCACAACGCTGATGTAAAGAGAAGCGTGGTGCTGGTGGGGCTGGGGGGCTCACAACCCCCCCCCAGGCTATGGGAGCCCAGGTTATGGGTGAGACCCATACCAGCATGGTCACAGCTCTTTCCCAGCAAGGGAAGGCAGCTGCTGGTCCCGCAGCAGAGGCCAAATCTCAGAGCTCCCAAGCCAAGGGGAAAAGCCTCTGAGTAATAACAGCCTTTGAACCTCCCTACCTGTCCCCTTGGATTCCGGGCAGAGGAGGAAGATGCTTTCATGGACAAGTTACAATGCAAACCCGCTGCCCCCCAGCATCCCTGCTCCTCCTTACCTCCCACTCCTGGCAGCAGGCTCGGAGCTGCACCAGCCAGTCAGGCTCCAGCATCTGGTCCTGCTCTGGCATCTCCAGGAGCAGAGGGTCGGAGAGCTTCAGCCGCTCGGCTAGCTGCAGAGACAGGAGGGCAACGGGGCTCGTCACACATCTTGGGTCCGTGAGGAAGAGACCAGCCCTTGCAGAAATTGCACATGGCTGGACACACTGAGGAAAATAGCACCAGCACTGCACTTCATAACACGGGGGTAAAAGTAGCACCAGCCTCTTGTGCAGGATGTATTCCCTCTCCTGCATTGTTGCTGGCCCATCCCGTGCCCCGCAGAGCCTCCCAGCAGGGTGAGCTCAGCCACCTCCACAGCCATGTCAAAGTACCAATGTCAGAGATGTTCTTCACATCAGAGGCAGGTAACTATCACCATCCATTTCTCCTCTGAGGAAAATGAGCATCTTTAATCCCACTTAACAGCCAGCCTGGGTTTGCAGGACACCTCACCAGGAGCCCTGGGAAGAGCCCAGCTCCCAGGGCAGCACATCAACCCCTACCCACCCTACGAGGATGGATGGGAGCCAGAGGGTTTGAGCTAAGGGCTCACCTGGCCGTTTCCTCCCCTGGCTTTGCAATAAGCATTGTCATCGCTAATAACCACCCAGGAAACAACAGAAATGCAGGGCTGGGAGGGACCTTTCCGAGGTTACCTGATCCATCTGCCAACACTCCAGAAAATCCTGTGTGCCCACACCAGCCTGTGCCGCCCGTGTTTGTGTGGTTTGCACTTAACAAATCTCCAAGGAGAAGATTTCACCACCTCCCAGGCCTGTCCTGATGCTTAACATCCTTAGAGCTAAGGAGTTTTTTCTGAATATCTAAGTGAAATCTTCCCTGCCACACATTAAGCCTCTTTTTCCTGCTCCCGCAGAAGATGCAGGGACAGCCAGACACCACCCCCTGAGAAGCAGCCTCCTGTGTGCCAGGGGACCGTTATCACATCCCCCACACCCCTTCCTCCCCCAGCATATCTTGCCTGGAAAATAAAATGCCCCAAAAGCCTTCTTTGGTGGTCATTTTTTCCCCTCAATCTCTTATCACGCCTGCTCTTCTCTTCTGCGCTTGCTCCAGTTTGGCCCTGTCTCCGAGCGCAGCATCTCAAATGGGGCACACAGTGCCCCAGCCAAGACCCCTGAGACCCAAGCATGAGGGGATTATCACCTTCCTGTCTCACACATGCTGTTCTTGCTCTCACAGCCCAGAATCACATTATAACATTGCCTTTTTTTTTTTTTTTTTTTTTTTTACAACAGCATCCTGTTATGTTGCTGCTCGGTATTTTTTCCATGCTCCACTATCTCCCCCAGGTCCCTCTCTGCAGTATTGCTGCTGCGGGTTTAATTTCTCCTGCAGGAGAGGGGTACTGCCATCCCAATGACATGGGGCTCCAGCTAATGTCAACAGGGCAAGAGGCTCTTCTGGGACAAGCCATCCCACAGCCCCAGGGTGTGATGGAGGGTTCCCTGCAGAGCTGAATCCCAGGCTGGAGAAATTGCTTACACATGGGTCCAGTTTGAAGACAGCTGGATGAGGGGAGATGACAGCCACCCCAAGACCTCACTGAAGGCTTTACTGAATTTGCTCTTGCTGGTATCAACTCACTTCTTGGGGATTTATCAAGCTCCTTCCCAGCTCCTTTCATCCACCTTGTGCTCACTTATCTTCTCAGCTTTGCTACAAGGCTGTCACATCAAGGGCCACCAAAAGCCATCCAGAGGTGACTTTGCAGCCACCCTCCACAATCATGCAGGTCTCAGCTATCCCCCCCACACCAGTCCCAATCAGCCATTTCTTCCTATTCCCAAAGCTTTTAAAAACAAAGCCTAAACCAGCACAAACCACTTCCCACCTCCTTTACACAACCCAAGTGCCTGGAGCCCAGCACAGGACATGCGACAGCCACGAAGAGCAGAGTCACCCAGCACCCAGCCGGGAGCTTGCGCTACCTACAGACCCACTGTCCCCTCTCTTGGCAAACGTGTGTTCAGCCTAAATCAACTGCAGGAAAGAGGAAATTATAAGCATGATTACTCCTAAACAAGGGAGAATGCTTAATCCAAAAGCTAATGTGCACTTTGATCCAACATTAATGAACCAGCACCTGGTTGTATATCGTCCCCAGCTTCAAAAGAGGGGAAGTCTTAATCAAACACTAATGTGTATCATAATTTGTTACCCAGTCTAAAACATCAAAGGCAAGAGTGTCTACGAATGCGCTCGTTTTTCAGATGAAAGTGTTTTCTCCCAGGAGAAGCATTATCCCCAGCAGAACAGCAGATCTGAGAGGCTGTTACAGAGTAAATAGGTTTCAACGATGGGGTGGGGGGGCTGCGCCAGCCAAGGTTTGGGTAATTTCTGCAGCACCTGCTTCAGACACACATCCTTGCTGCCCTTCCTCTCACAGCACCGTGGCTTTTTCTCCATTCCCAGCAGAGAAATGCTATGAGCAGCCTTGGCACTGCCCTGGTGATGTGCATAGAGGGGGCAGACCCACTGTCCTGGGAGCCCAGCCTGCCTGGAGGGGACCTGGGACACTTTGCTTCTCCCCTCCCTGCCCCAGTGCCCCACTCATGTGGCAGAAGAGCTGGGCTTGGGGCTGCAAGCTGGGACATGCTCCTATTCACTGTCACCCCAAAAGAGCGCCTGGCAGGTAAATGCAATTGTGAGATGATGTGCTGGAGGGGAAATGTCACACAGTCACACTTCAGTTGCTTAAGTCTGTGCCATTTAGAAGTTCAAAAAGCCCCTCCAGAATAGAAAACATTCTTTGCTTCCAAATAACTCTGCTCCTACTTGGCAGCCAACACAATTCCTTTGTTTTCTACCCTAAATCCGTGGGTATTAGAGACTCCACGGAGGTGTTGGCTTTGCTGTGCTCAGCCCACGCCAGGCAGCAAACCCTGGGGGGGGTGCTGCTCAGAGCTGCCAAGCACCCCTGGCCATGGGAAAACACCGAGGATGCTTCCCACCGCACCGCATCCTGAATGGGTACCACCCTGCCAAGGATGCAGGGGGGCACAGGACTCACCTGTATCACTTGCTGGGTCAGGATGGGGTGGTTGGCTGGATCCTGGGCCAGCAGCACGGTGGCAATCTGCTCGCAGTATTGCAGAGCCTGAGCTGGGAGCCCGTGGTCAGCCAGGCGAGAGGCGTAGAGGAGCTTGTACGCCTCGGGAGAGGGATGCAGAGTGCAGGTAAGCAAGAGAGGGGATGCTTATGCCCACAGGTCCCTGGCACATCATCCCAGCATGACTCAGAGCACCTTGGGCCATGGGTCTCACCACCCAGAGGTCACCCACAACTTAGGGGCACCTCACCCCTTCCCAGCCCAGCCGTGCTCCCCAAACCATGATGCTGTTGTGAGGCCAGACCAGCACGGAGCCAGCAGCCAGGCAGGGAGCACACCATCTTCATTCATCCACCCAATTTGTGCTGAGGCACTCCCTAAGCCCGGCAAGGGAACAAGCCTTGTAGCACAGCCTGAATCCCCAGCTTCAGGGGGATGGATGCATGTTTTGGAACAGGTCTGAGCTGCTGCACTGGATTTGCTTGTGCATCTACCTGGAAGGGGAGCAGGAAGGATTTGGGTTGTCGTAGCTGCTGGCAGTACTCGAAGATTTCCATCCGCTGGATGACCTCTGTCCTGGCAAACTGGGTGAAGGCCTGGCTGCAGAGGAGAGGGGCAGGTTCAGCAAGCGAAAGCAGAACTTGCCCCCCAGGCAACCCCACACATGGATTCACAACTCCACCACTGTGCCCAGAGAGGCCCAGAGCAAAGCTCACATGAAGAGCAGGAAAAGGCCACAAACAGAGATTGCTTTTGCATAAAAGTGAGATCCTGGGGATGGGGAGAAGGTGGGACACATCGCTTTGGCAAAAGTGCTGCCTCCTGGGTTCACTCACCGGTGGCTGCTGCCCAGCAGAGACATGCGCTCTGCCTTGGCCCCAAAGTAACCAAAAGGGATATCTGCCATCAGGTAGCAGAAATGAGCTGCTTCAACTGCTCCCTTCCCAGCTAGATGGGAGGAAAAAAAGACAAACACTTAGTCCTGAGAGTTCATCATGTGGTCAGCATTGCTTTGGAGGCTCCCAAGCTCACATGGAAACCCAAACCCAACTGCCCCACTTTTCTTCCCTTTCCATGCAGACCCTGATCCCTCCCTTCTCCCTGTTTTTTGGGGGGTTTTTGTCTGTCTTCCCCAATTGCAGCTTTCTGTACCTAGGAGGGGGTTTCACCCCTGCCACCGCACGGGCACAGGCATGCACACCCCATCTCAGCACCAGCCAGAGTGGGGACACGTGGTGACATTGCAGAGGTCCACCCACCGTTACAAGACACCGGGAACATAACTGCTTACAATGGCCTGGGCTCACCCAAAGTGTCTCCCATGATGACGATGGCTCGGTGGTTCAGCTCCGTGTCTCCAACCTTGTTGGACAACATCACGGCCAGGTGGGGCCTCCAGTCTCCCCATGTGGCATCTCCACAGCACTGGAGGGAGACAGCAGGAGAGTGAAAGTGAGCAGAGATGGTCACCAGAAGGTGGGTGTCACAGGCAGGTGACAGCACAGGGGCACATGCGCCGGGGCCAGCCTCTTGCTCACGGACCAGTGCTGCCTGAGGTATCCTTCCTGACATGAGCTGGAAGAGGGTCTGCAGGGGGTCATTGGTGGCCAGTGTGCTGGTGAACCTGTGAGGAGACAGATAGGGCTGTCATGTCAGGACCCCAGACCCTCTTTCACCTCCAAGGGCTTGTCCCAAACACCCCAGAACAGCAGCGTCCTGAGGGGCTTCCCAGAGAAGGCAGAAAGCATCACCAGCCCACCAGGCTGACGATCTGCATTACCTCCAGAGCAGGCAAGTCTCCACGACAATGCTGGATAAAACCTCCTTAAAAGGATTCAAGTTGCACAAGACCAAATTTCTGCTTAACTCTCCCTAAAGGGATCTAACCAATCCAGACTAAGTACGTTAATTCCATCAGAAAGTGTTCATACAAGTTCATCCAGACCAGGCTGGATCATGGTGAAGATGGCCCAGCTCCCCCCATCCCAATGGCCACCTTTGCTGGGGCATCCAGGGCAAAGCCAAAGAATCAGAATAAATCCACCCCACAGCTCCATGGGACAGCTTTCCTTCTGCTTTCCAGCCCCTACTTAGTTTCTCCTGTCCCACAGGAAGCCCAAAGGACTCAGGACCATCCAGATAGATGCCCCTCTCCCCTTTGGCCCCTCTAAAAGAGTCCATCTGAAGTTAAGGCTGAGGGCACCCAAAAGGACAACGAGCTTGGCAAGGCCAGTCACAGAGCATCATACCTTGCTTTAGCTCCTCCAACTTACCCGGCGAGCACCCAGCTGTAGGTCCGAGGGTCCATCTTGCTGGAGAGGAAGAGGGCATGACCCCACAGCTGGTTTCTCATGGCCCACACCAGAGCGTCCTGCGGCCAAAATGGAGAAGAGAAAGGGTGTGCACTAACCCCACTGCCCTACCATCCTCTTCTGCCAGGAGAACCCGTGCTCACCCAGCTCAGAGAAGAGCTCTGATGACTGCTCTCGCTTTATTACCCTCCAAAAAAGTATTCCACATTCACAAAGGCCCCTTTGTCTTTCTACCTTGCACAATAACGAGAACTGGGACCTTCATAGCAATAGTGTCATCCCTGGATTTCCAGGTCTGGGCTGCCTGTTAGCTCTTGATCCCACCACCATGGGATCCCAGACTGGGCACCCACGCTTCTCTGCATCCCACCCTCAGTCTCCCTGTGCCTTTGGTATCCCTTGAGATCACAGCCCCATCCCAAAGGTGGAAAATCACTGCCATAAGCCCTGTTGACCACTCTTCCTTTAAAATCTGCCTGAAGAGGCCAAAGGGGCCAATAAAATAAGTCAGCCCTGTGTCCTGGATCCCACTCACCACTTACTTTCTTCCTGCCATAGTAGAGGAGCTTGGTGAACTTCTCCACTATCTGTGCCTGTGTCTCCACAACAGGAGGTACCTCACCCGTGATGAGGTCCAGTGTCCCTGGCTGACGTGACATCCGATCATCGTCTGTCACACCGATCAGGTTTGCTGCAGGGTTTTGCCTCTTGTACTTCTCCCGACGCCTGCAGTCTTGCATCAGCAGCTCAGCTGTGTCTGAGCCCACCATGGACTGAAAAAGGGAAGGGGAGGACCAAGGCCCATGAGCAAAGGCTGATGGCACAACTGGATCAAGAGGCACCTGAAGGGCACATAACTTATCTCACTTCTAAGACAAAAAGGGTCCTCCCCTTCCATGGGACACCTACCCCATTCTGCCGGCAGAGGAGGACCAGGAGTTTCCAGAGAAGAGCTGAATCTCTGCCGCTCTGTGTTGAGAGATCACAGCTCGTGGCTATCTTCTGCTGACAAAATGTCATCACATCCACCTTGTGCAGATCCTCCCTGCAGCAAAAAAGGCATCAAAAGAAAACCAAGGCAAAACAATCTACAACATAATTCAGAGTCAAAGCATCCCCAGGTTCATTGATGGAGATACCAACAATTCAAAGTGAGAGACAGAAAAGAGAAGACCCCCAGTGCCAACAACCACATACCACATTGGCCACATCAAGCTCAAAAATGCTTTAACTTTATCATTATTATGACTCTTTGCAGATTTCTTTGTTTCAGGGATGCAGAGTACATCTCAAACCCTCTTTCTGCCCTCCTGATATTTTCATCCTCACGTCTGCCTGCAGGAGCAGGCACACATACAGGCAGCATCTTTTATTTAACTGGCATAGCACAAGGAGAAAGACACGCCTGTGATCACAAAAACCCTTTGGGTCTGAAACAAGCAGAAACCTTCAAACTATGTGCAAGCCAGGCAGAACTGCTGTCTTACAATAAAATAATCAGAGAGTTGGAAAGAAAGAGTGGTTGAGACACAAGATCAGCTGGGGAGAGGGGCTGGGGATGGAGATGCTGATCCTGACTCAATCACACCAATGTGGGAGATTCCCAACATCCCCTTTGGCACCAGGGGCAACCTCCAGGTCTTCTACCCAGCTCCTGGGCATACACAGCTCTCTGGATGAGTAAATGGTTTTCCTCCTTCTGCACACTCCTTTTCTCTCCCCACTTTGGTTATGAGTGACCAGAAGACACGCCGGTGTAACCAGTATGATAAAGAGACAACCCGATGCGGTACACCATGACTCATCCCCAGGCTCACACTGGATGAAGGTGCATGCTGGGTCTGACCCTGCCTTGCTCAACAGTCTCAGGGGACAAAAGCCTTAGGAAAAGCTAAACTGTAGGTTGGCCTAGGGATTCAGACATACAAAGAGATCTCCCAAAAATTGTTTTTCTGGGACATGGGTACAAAATAAGGTCAAGCATACAAACCACACTAAACCCACACCCTATGCCTATTAAAAAAAAACTCTCCCACAATCCAAACCAACCTACACCATCTAAACCAACCTACACCATCCAAACCAACTCACACTGCAGCAAAGGGTCTGGGCTCCCAATCTGAACCTAGATGTGGCCTTCACAGATATTTCAAAACCGTGGGGACCCTAAAGTCTGCCTTGAGCTCATGTCCCCTCCCAAAGGAGAGGTGGTCCCAGGCCAGCCATGCCAGCACAGCCAGGAGGACACCACTCCTGGAGGACCTGCCAGTACGGCATACCTGGCCAGGGGCCCCGGGAAGGCCTGTAGCTCCTCCAGCTCTTTTGTGTCATGAAGGAGTACCTAAAAAAACAAGAGCAAATTCAGCAGCTAGACTCGAGCAATCAGACCAGCCACAGCTGGGCTAATCAGTGCCTTGGACAAGAGTTCAGTGCTGGTGAACCCATTCTCTGTGCTGTCTTAAAGTAACCCCAGAGCATAGACCCTTAAACATCACATGGTCTTCAATTCTAAGGTCCAGGAAAGAAATGTCTTGAGATATCAAGACATTTTTGGGAGGCAAAATAGGAGACGGAAATGCTGGAGGAGACTCTGGGGGTGGGTATGACCTCTGTATTGGAGCACCTCAGAAAGATGAGCAGGATTATTCTTCAGAGAGGCATGAACCACCTCTATCTGTTTCCAAAGAGATCACTGTGAACAGGTCACAGATGATAAGGGTCATGAAGCTGAAGGAGCAGGATTTGGGGCCCAAAGGCTGAAAGCAATGCCCAGGCACAGGCTGGCACAACGCAGACTCAAGAGTCCACGTGGGCTGGCGATAAGATGGCAGCAGGGGACAGGAAGGATGCCAAGGAGGCTGTTTGGGTGACAAATGGCATTTGCATCCCTCAGGACAAAAGCAGCCACTCCAGCAAGGGGACCGAGAGCCATCTGGGGTGCCGGCTGTGGTGTACCTCCAGGCTGTGTATCTCGACATGGGCGAGCTGCCCCGCGGCAGGGCGGTGAGGACACACCAGCACCAGCTGGCCACTGGCTCCGAAGCACACCACCACGTGTGGCACTGAGAACTTGAGGGGTACCACCGGGGATGGAGTGGGCACCCAGGGTCTCCCTGCAACAACACACAGGCCACCGTGAGTCCCTTCACCCCCACTACACACCACCTCCACCGTGAAGGAGGTGACCAGGTCCCAACCTGGGCCCCAAACTTCAGTAACCCTCCACTGTCCCCCCTGAGCAAGAACGGTCCCCTGAAGCTGAACGCATGCGTGGCAGCTCCTGCACCCACCCCACAGCCCCCTGCTCACCCCCGGCACCACCTCCTCCAGGAAAGGACCATGCTGTGAGACAGCACACCTCCTAGTTCCAGCCATTTATTTCCTTGCTCTCCCCTTGTCAGAGCTTCACCAAGGGCTCCATCCCACCTCACCTGCTTGTGCCGGGCTCCAGGTCCCCGAAAGCCTGGGGTCATAGTGGTCGGCACCATCGTGGATGTACTGGCTGAGCTCACAGCTGCTGGAGCTGAGCCCCGACTCGCGGTACTGCAGGAGCAGGCTGGGCTGGCCCCAGGGCTTCGAGGAAGGGAGAAAACACAAATCTGGCTGAGAAACTAGGGACATGGCCACTTTTCTGCTCCCAGGGCGGTGGGACAGGCTCTGCTGCTCTGTGGAAGTGCCCAGCACAGACCTGAGCAGCTCACACCCCTCAGCATCTTCAGTTCATCATGGCACATACCCTGGTCATGCCCAACAGCTTTTAAAATAATTTACATCAGCCACAACAGCTTTCCTAGCCCTAACACAGACTCCTCAACAGCCAACAGATGGGGCTTGGGAAATCAAAGCAGCATTGACCAGGAGCAAAACCACCACAGCAGCTCTGATTCAATCTTTTAATTTGCTCTTGGCAAAAAAACACAGTGATCAGGACATGAGTGTGATGGAGCAGGACTTGGTGAACAGAGCTGACAACGACACACAGCTTTTAACTACCTCGGGAGGATGCAGAAGAGCATCCCACCGAGCCTGGATTTCTGTCCTGCTCTTGGCCCTGTGTGGAAGCGGTGCACAGCCCCATGCCTGGGGCAACAGCAGCCTAGCAGACAGAGAGTTCATAAATACCAATAACCCACTGTAATAATCCCCAGAGACTCTTAATCACTGAGTGCAACACAGCAAAGCAGCCTTTGTCACCTCAGCCTCCTTCTCAGCTGGAGGAGGGACACATGCATTGCACCAAGATCTCCAGGAGATGCCCAAGCCTTTTGTCCCCCACCCCTGCCCATCGTGAGGTTACCTCTTGGGGCTGGCCACCAGCCTCTCCCGAATCGCTGTTGAGGGTTTCTCCCCCTGCCCTCTCCCTCCTGGCAGCCGAGATGTAGCTCCTCTCGTAGGAATCGTAGGTCTGCGTCCTGCAGGCAGGAGCAAAAGGAGACACCCTGACGGTCAGAGATGTTGGGACCAGGCACAAACACGCTAATTTTGCAGCAGATGGTTGCACCAGGTGATGCCCAGTCTCCACACCCTTACCTGTCCTGCCCTGGGGGGCCCGTGGCCAGGTTGGGGTGGTAACCCCTGTAGTAGTGCTGCTCCCGGTAATTGGTACTCTTGCCGTAAAGCTCTCCCTGTCTCAGGTCTAGAGGGAGAATCAAGATTTAGTGCTGCCCCTCCAGAACAACAAGCCATAATGAACTTGCAAAAGAAAAGCAATGAGTCAGGCAATTTGCCATGCACAGCCCATTTGCTTCCAAATTAGCCCAACACACTGGAGGTATGATAAAGCCCTGTACACATTTGCCAACACAGCACTGATGTCCTTTCCTCCCCTTTTCTTCAGCCCAGGAACTCCAAAAACAGCAAAAACTAGGCTCCGGCCACCCTGACCACACACCACCAGCACTGACTTCAGCCTGGAACCAGGAATGACGCAGGTTTTTATCCAGAGCTCAAGATCAAACATTCCCTTGGGTGCACCTAGTTCCTGCTCACGTTTCCCAAATGCAAACCGAGGACAGTGCTGCACGAGGAGAACAGCACTGACAGCCCAGGAGCACAGGCAGGGAGATGTGCAAGCCCTGGGAGAAGAGCCCATCTGGAGAAAGCGTCGCCGCTTCTCCAGCAATTTGCCACCATCCCCAGACCCAAAGGATAAACCCATACCTCTGTCACCCTTCCAGGCCACCGGCTGCCGCTGGTGGCTTTGGTAGGTGTAGTCATCCCTGTAGCCAGCTGCTGGATACTGCCAGTGGGGGTCTTCATAGCCTTGCCTGAAACACAACACAACAGACAATCTGAGAAAGAAAGGGCACTGCTGTAGGTACTGGACCACATCTAGGGTTAGACTCATGCCTCGGAGGCAGAAAGGGTGATGGAAATAAAGCCAGGTCCCCTGCCCAGGTTCTCCTGGACCAGAAATGGGTCCAGCATCACTGCTGGAAGGAGCAGCAGGAAGTTTGGATGTTTTCCCATCCTTGTTTATGAAAAAAGCTGTGGATTGCAGTTTCAGGAGATGCCCAATTTCAGCTCAATGGTGTGGACTTGTCATGGGGATCAACTTTCCCTCACATTTTAGGTAAGGTGAAGGTGCCCAAAACACCTGCTCTGGAGCTGCTGTGTCCACCACTCCGTGGGTCTCCTCCTGCGCCAGAGCCCAGCCCCAGCCTAAGCACTCACATCCCTTAACCCTTCACAATTTACACAGCGATTTGGGCAGCCCCATGCAACACCCCTATCTCGGTGCGAGCATCACACAACCTCAGCACAAAACCCCGCGTACCCACACCATAATTCACAGAGGGCAATAACTCCAGCAAATCAACCCAAATTTGCTGGAGCGCTCCAAGCTCTTTCTCAGCACCGAGATCATCCTTTAGCCCACATTTTATCCTTCCACCATCCGTTATTTCAGCAGCTGAGCTAGCAGGATCCCTTTTGCTCCTATATTACCGTCTGTATTTTTATTGTTCACCTTGCACTTACTAAGAGAGAACTGCATTTAATCAAACCTTCAAGAAAAAATGCACCTTGGGACTGAGACAAAACCTGTAAAATGGCAAGCAAAGGAGTCACAGATGCAAGAAAAAAATCAGACCTGCAACTGCCATGCAGCCTTAAATATAGAAGAATAGCTGGACATCACCTAACCATGGTCGGTGGCTGCTCACATTTTGCCCATGCCATGACGAGGGCAGCACCCGCATTGCAAGCCCACAAGAGCAGTGAAGTGGGCTTATTTTAATAATTTTATTTTAAAAGGGGTTTACAATGAGGAGGCTGGGTCCAAGCACCACAGTGTGAAGCAGCTCTCACCTGGAGTATGGCCGAGCAGGGCGGCTGCTCTCATGGGTCCCAGCCCGGGAGGCTGGTCTGCGGGCATCCCTCCGGGAGGGGTGGCCCTCAACCCCGGGACGGCCGGGGAGGGGGACCCCATTCCAGGAGCCAGGTCTGGGCGGGGGGCCTGGAC